CCATGTTTGAAATAAAAATATTTACCATTCTCTTTTACGATTAATGGGAAACGTTTTGTAAAAATGATGAAAACGTGGTTGCGCAAGTTACCGAGCATTCGAGTCTCTGAGTTCACCGTGATCGGTCCAGAGTTATTTTTGAAGGGGCGTTTAATCGAGACTGGTTGCATATACACACGTGTGCCCATACAGCACTGGACAAATTTTATTTGAAACGAAAAAGTAGTATTTGAAATATTTCGATCTTTCACTTGAAAAATAGCGAAATAATGAATTTACTTAAAGGAACAGGTATTGAAAATAACGAAATTATTTCATTCGTTTAATTAATTGACCCTGATGTCACATTTAAATTGTTTCGTTAATAGAAATTTCAATTTGGTTACTTTACTGATAACGAAATTATATCTTTATTTGAAGTGTCACAAACTTCGAAAAAACTTTGAAACAACCGATCGCATAACGAATCAATATTTAAAATTTCCTATTTCCAAATTTCCTATAAATCCATAAAAATCCAGTCTAATAATATGTCATAGAGAGCAATGTTTGAAAAGCGTTCAGATCTACAATACAATCCGACAAAGCATTATTAGTAATTAGTATGAATAAAGGCTGCTGATCTTTATACAAAATAAAATCTTCGAAAACGTATCTACAAAAATTGAACCTAAATAGAAATTATATTTTACTCTGCAAATATCATAATATGAACTTCACTTTCAATACTCTTTTACATTCCTGCATACTGTGTGCATCTTGTAGTTTCTTGCACATTCAAATTTCCTATGAATCCATAAAAATCCACAGTCTAATAATATGTCACAGAGAGCAATGTTTGAAAAGCGTTCAGATCTGATACAATCCGACAAAGCATTATTCCGAAACAGACTAATTCAAATGTCTAAAGATGCTAATGGTCCAAAGAAACTTATTCCCTTATCTTTCAAGCTGCATTTTCTCGTAGCGTCTTCCTTCTTTAAATATTCGATCCAATTCCCGTACATGAAAATTGAAATAACCTTGGCACGAGATCACACGTCATTGAAAGTAGCGTTTGAAATGTATTCGAGCCTGATGCAGACTGCATGATGCAGTCCCCGCGCGAAGGTGCACACCTGTCCGACAGTTACGTACCTCGAGCGGATTCTCTTTCAGCGATTCGCGTTCCTTTCCCTGGTTTTCAGCGTCACGGGCTGGTCCTTTCTCTGACCGTTTTCGGGGAACGCTCAAAAGAGCCCTCCAAATCGGTTGCTGGACCGGTACTGACTGAAGCAAGTGAGCACAGTACGCCGAGCACGGAGGCCTCTCCGGGCGGCGAGCAACCCAGAGATGATCTCATCGTTTTTCTTTCCTCCGACACCCCGTTTGATCTTTCTACCATATGCACTGGTTCTCGATCCTCTTGTTGCTTTACCAGCAACACGAATTACGCAACCCGGTACCTTGCACACGAGTGCGCGCCTGTAACATTCTTTTTCGATTAACGCGATACAACACAATTTTTAGGATCTCGGCACCTCTTGTACAGCGGCTGTAGAATGTATTCGTACACCGATCAATTTCCTGAAAAAAACTATGTACAATTGTAATTTATTAACTTATTTTGTATAAACAATGACATTCTACGTATTCTCGGGAATCTCTAGAATAGATAGATTACAAAAAAAAAAAAGATAGCTATTTATGTAAGTTGGAAAATTAACAAGAAAAAAGCAATTACTCGATAGAAATGTTGAAGCAATAAGTATTCGCACAACTGTTTAATATTTAAAACTTCATTAAAAAAAAAAAGAAAGAGGGGTTCCTGCCTTGTTGAATACAAAAATATAAAGTAAACATTCCTGAACTATAGTTACACGAACTATCCAGTTATGCAGAAGGTAAATGGAGTTCTTTTGTATTTGTGATTTTTTTTTCCCAAAATATTGGACACTCACAGATTGAATTTATCACGTTTTTTACGTTGATTTGTCTACAATATGAATTTTTGTAATTGACGAAGATGAAAACTTTCTAATTTATGAGCTGTTGTTTATAGGCATGTAGAAAGAAACAAAGTTGTTCGGTGTTGAATAAAATGGCCTCAGGGATCATTTGAGACACATCATTCAAAAAGATTCTTATTCTAAATGAGTGTACATTCAATTACCTATTGGTAATTCAAGTACCTATGGCCGGAACTAGAATTATTAACAAATTTTTAATAATTAGAGATTTTTAAAAATACAGCCATTATAAGAAAAATTCTTGCATATAGCCTAAAATTAAACTTTTGTTGTTATAAAAAAATATATATATATATATATATATACATGTCGAATTGAGTAACCTCCTCCTTTCGAAGTTGGTTAAAAAGATACGGCAATTATTTTAGTACCGATCATAGATGCTTGTAAGACATAGAAGAAGAAGCAATTTATAAACGTTATTACGTTTATATAATTACAGCATAACGCGATATATTCAAACTTCCTTTCACCGCGTGCTGATATGTGTATCAATTTGAGGAAAATTATTCAAAAGTTACAGTCGTCTCTGATCAAATTCATTTAATATTGGTATAAATAAAAAAGTATCAAATATCTAGATACATCAACATTATTATGTCAAGTCGGAATAAATGAGTAACAATACAGGGTCGTAAAAATTTACAAACTTTTAGGGTATAAATGTTTCCCATCGACACTTAGATTAAATATAAACGGTAGTCGGTCAAGTGAACACGATACAAGCAAATTGAAAGTAGACATCCTTCTCGAAAGTTTCACGTATAATGTAAACGCGTACGTAAACTATATTATAATTGAAGAGTTCAAATATATGCGACACAGAACGCAGTAATTTCGTTAAATAATGGTTTCGTTTGTTAAGCCTAATTATCGTGCAGACTATAAAGTGCTCTTGCGAGTTACTCAACTATGCTAGACAATTGCAGCAGTTTAAGAAAATAGATAGGGAACAAGCGAAACGGCGCGGAAACGCATTCTCTAGTAATGTGAGAGCACATTAGCTGGAATTAAAGAAGATTCTTGCGATATAAAACAAGACAACGATTAATCGGTACTTTAAAGTACTTTTACCTGTCTCTTATTACTATATTATTTAACATTGCTCTTATAATCGACCAAAGATCGAGATCGTTCATTTAGCAATTGATTCTGAATAGGATACAAATATTTTATAACAAACGTATTAAATTGCGTATAACAAATCTGCTTAAAACCTGTTGTCATCACCGTGCCACCGAATTATCCTCGTAACAGTAGATTATTGTACAATGTAACTGATGATGTAGCCAGTATAAAACTGGTTAAAACTCGAATCGAGCTTCGCATACAAATTAAAGTGTAATTCTTTAGTTTAGTTTTATTCAGAAGACAATTGAGAAATCGTTGAATGTGATTTATTTTATTGGGCTGTCTGGAAGGTCCATGCCGATTTTTAGTAAGCGATACAGGTCTGAATATATCGGAATGGCTGAAATCAAATAATATGTGTACATTCCTTAACAGGTGGAAAGGTTGTAGAACAAAATGGTACATACATAATTCAATAAATATAAATGAAAATTCAAATATGCCTTTGTATTTCTCTTAAAAATAGGCATGAACTTTCCGGACAACCCAATATTATAAGGACAGTAGAACCTCGATACTTGCACAATATACGGGAGATTAATAATAAGAGGTCGCTTAACTCTTTGGGGCACGGTGGGATTAAAAGTGCCCCACCTTTTTGATGGACCGTAATGCGTGGTGGGACATTTTTAATCCCACCTTGAAATTTTGCAATAGCTGCATGTGTATAGGTGTGATACCTTTATTAATAAAAATATAACAATTTTGTTTGATTTAAAACGCAATAAAATTCCTGTGCAACATGGGTCTATTTTATGACCTGAATTCTTGAAAGAGTCAACAATAAGTGGCTTGTCTACCATTTCAGACAAAATTACAGATTAGAATTCTCTAACTATACCTTTATTACTAATACCTGTCTATTACTCATACCTTTATTAATAAAAATATAACAATTTTGTTTGATTCGAAACGCAATAAAATTCCTGTGCCACAAAGAGTCAACAATAAGTGGCTTGTCCACCGTTTCAGACAAAATTACAGATTAGAATTCTCTGATTATACGAGAGGTCAAATTTTGATGGTAGGGATACGTTGGGTAAGTTGAGGTCCTCTTATCTAATCGATTACCTCGACGATTGTAGGAATTTTCAATCCCAATTTTCCTTCGATCTACAACTATCAAAGTTCCACTGTTCTGTAATTTCTCGTTTGATTCAAACTCTACATTGTATAGTCTGTTGCATAGTAAGCGTTACCGAGTACAGTATTTGTCCATGTCTAAACAATACAAGCTGTTGCAGATTTGCCAATTGTTCCACAGATGAACTAGGTCATAATAGCGACAACGTAGTAATCACGGATGACCATGACTTCATCGCCTCTCATTTTTCCTTTGGCAATGGAAATAAATTGATTCAAGTTTTTACAAGTACAGGACTTTGCGCATCTACGAGAAACGAAGGTTTTGTATTTCACTAAAAATCGGTGTGTCAATTTGTCGCAAATAAAGAAGAAAATTGAGTAAATTGTTATACAAGCATTTTATAATTGTTACAAAAATTATGGAGATTTTCTTATAATCTGAAACTGTTCGTTTTAGAAAGTGTTGGAAAGTAACGAAAGCTTTTCCATACTTTTCTTTTTCTCTGTGTTCGAAGAAATTTTCTAATGTACACGTATCGATGAAGAAATGTATATAGTTTACACTAATGGAAATTTGTCGTTAACGAGGGAAATTAATTTTCATTCGAGACAATCGTAAATGACAACATTTACTCGACGTTATTACTATATTTGATTACTCGTGTACTCGTACAACATACACAATACCCAACTGAAATTTGTAAATCGAACAGGTTTTCTTAAAAGTTCAACGAAATGGTAATGTTCAGACAAATAAAGAGATACTGATAGGAGTTGGTAGTAAGGTAGGTATATTATACTAAATGCAAAAAGTTACAATACATTTGACGTTTGTTTTTTTTTTTTCATTTTCCTTTAACATTATTTTTGTTGTTGTTGGTGTAGTAACGTTGTCCATGGTTGTACACACAAACTGGCCTAGTAGACCGAAATAAAAATGTATACTACAAAAATTCACAACTTATTAATAGTCATCCTCTAATTATTATACTGTTATAATTATTTGTGTTTCTTCGTATTCCTTTTTTCGTTCATTATATTTATCTTTTTATTATTATTATTATTTTATTATTATTATTATTATTATTATCACTAAAAATAGTCACTTAAAAACGAAAACATTCACACTAAAAATTTGCAGCTTTCGTTCAAGTATAAAGGGACGATTTCGCGTAATCGTGGCTTCTGAACACTTTCCGTTTATCACGGTTGCATGACACGTGCATTGGCAAATTATTTATCCATTGGTGCAAAGTTATATCAAAATAGTATACACGCATCGAAGACATAAGGAGAGATAACATGAGATGTATAAAAACTTAGAACGCTATTATTTATACATTTGAGAATGTCATTGTCTGTAAATAGAAGACATCGGCGATGTTAAAATCGGCGAAGTAAACGATTCACCATTTCGTAACGATTGCTTTTACTAGTAAAATTTACTGTACGAATGGTTCCAATTTTTTCTACAGACAATAAGCAGTGGTGGTTCATAAATATCATGATTGTACAGCCAAACAATCACGCGAAATTGCCTCTTTATCTACGACTGAGATCGAGCAGCTTCATCGCTACAATACGAAAGCAATGTATCGGAAACAAAAAATTTTTGTACGCAAACTTCCGCGAAGTGAAACCCTACCTAACTAAAATATCTTAAAGGGGGTAGCGGCGGCGTGTTAGGGGGGGGTACAACGAAGACCAGGCGTTTGATCAGCGATGACTCTGCTATATCCCAGACATAGCAATTGTAACGCGTTCGATTACAAACTATTGCGGATGTTCGAACGTAGACTACGCAACGATTTTTATGGATTGATAAGAAACGTAAACAATTACTTTTCACAAGTTCTCAGCCTTAATGTCGTAGCATCTGGCGATTTAGTCGCCGTGCACTTTGTAAGTTCCTATTTCTCTGCTGAATTTTGAATCAGTTAATTTACCACCATCGACGTATTCGTATCACCTCTAGTTTATCACTGTTATGAAAGAACAATGTCGGTCTTTTTTTCTGTGTTTACATATGCGCACTCGAGTTTCAGCGAGGTGTATATACGCGATGGCATATAAATTAACATGCGCGCACGACCGTTTTCGCGACAATGGTAGTCTTCTCATTACGGTTTGCACTTGTGATTTCTTGTTTTCTTTTTTTATACTGTTTCAATATTATCTTGCAAAACCATTATTTCAATCAATCGATGACTTTTGATGCGATGAATTTTAACAAATGGCGTTCCTGTTGGCAGAAACATGAAGCATGACCAGGAAAAGTATATCACCCTGTCTCTAATAATCGCAGGACTCATCTTGCGTACACGTAAATAGAAATTTGAAAATATTTCTAGTACTTTTCTTGATAAACATGTGATTCTCCTTCTTCTCGGTTCCGTTTGTCCTAGCGCCTTTATACAGACACGCATTGAGAGTACAAATAGGAAAGTACTACTTATAAATTATGGTAATACGTAGTTACGAACATACGAGAATAAAAATGTTTCTCAATTCCATTCGACGATGTACAGTAAGTGCACGTGCTGAAATTTACATTCTCTAAGAAAAGTTTCAAGTTTAATCGTAAATCTAATTTTACTAAATTGCTGCTGTTACTTTACACGAATGAAATGATGCTTTCATACGTCGACGTGTAGAGATTGAAGCCTTCAAAAGTGCGACCATTAGCATATGGAGAACTAACAAGATGTTTAAAAAAGTATATGTATATATATTTATGTATGTATACACATATCGAAGAAAAAGAGCCAGCCGGAAAAAGTTTAATATTTTAATATACAATATTTATCACTCTCGACCGATTCTGTATTAATGTTTGAAGACTTTCTATTTACGTATGTATAATAATTACAAGAATAACGCTAGTTATATTAGTACGGGAGGAAAATTTCAGTTTCATCGATATACATCGCTAGTACATAAAGAAATTTTCGCAAATAGGTTTTGTGTAAAAAATACTCAAAGAACGGATCAAATTTTGCGTTATAACGGTACTAGGCCTCTTTTTCTCTCTCTCTTTTCCCCCATCTCCCTTCCTCTCTTTTAACCGCGCATTGCGAGTTCTGCGATCACCAGAGACCACTAATGATGAACCGAATCAAACGAATTTCGAATTTTGAGACACCATTTTTGCTTATCCGATCCGAAGAGAAAAGAAAAAAGAGAAGAAGAAGAAGAAGAAGAAGAAGAAGAAGAAACGAAAGATCGACCCGGCGAAATTAGCGAATAAGAAATAAGTAAATGTAAACGTAATAAAGCAAAAGAGCCTATAAGAAATGATACGTCGGGAAGAGAAAGAGAAAAATCGAAAAGAATCAGCAGATTAGAACGAAATAGAGGGTAAGCGGCACGCGGATGAATTAGGAAACGGCGAGACCAGCTGCAGTCTAAAGGGTACTGTCCCACTATTAATCGATACCGGTCGATCAATAATTGGCCATGTTCTGTGAGAAAAATCGACTGTGTCTTTTTGTATGCGACCACAGAAGAACCGCGGTTCTCTACTCGTTAACCAACACCGACCAACTACCACCTATAAACATTATTGCCGACTTTCTACATTTAGGTGGAACGTTTCATCGGCAGTCAATGAATTAACTCGAGAGCATATGAAATATATGACGATTTCTTTTTTTTATAATTAAGACGGTTCGTATCCTCTCGTTTTAATTTCGTTTAGTTTGGCTCGTAAACTTACTTATACGATAGCGGAATTCGCACCGCTTATGTCTCCATCCGATTGGCAAACGGAGAAAATTAAAAGAGCGACGTATGACTTTCGCGGTGTTCATCCAAAAGAGAAACAAAAGGTGTGTTACCCGAACCCCAGTCCGACATATACATATTGCGTGTACGTTTCCAACACTGTCCCTTGTCCCACGCCGCACATGTGTTTCAATGGTGTTCTTTCTTCGTCCTTTTGTTCTAGGTATCTTCAGCACTTCACCACAACTTGGCAATTATTTACCTTCTTGGATGTTGACTTCTAAGAAACGATGGGCCACGGTATCGGTAGACAAAAAACGCCCACATTTCTAAGGTGGATATCACGCGTCACTTCGCTGTACATATACGTGTATATGCAAATGGTTGGTAGTTTTGTTTTCATTGTAAAGTCTTGTAAGTTGCCTGACGTCGATGTATGAAGAACGAACTCGTAGTATTTACTTCATCAAATATTCAACGAATTAAGTTGAACGTTCAACAAATCGGTTAGCTACGTCGTTATCCTTGTCCAAGAACACGACGAACTTAGCTTAAATGCGATATAACCCGATTATCCCTACTCAAGTTCGTGTACCATACAGTTTGAGCTGCTTCATCTATATTTGTTGCTTGACGAACGATGCAAGCGTTGTTTAAGCGTAAAAGGATAGCGCCTTTAATCACGTCGGGTGGCATACGAGATAGTCTTGGATTTTGTGTTTTGAAATGAGGATGGTAATTATATACCGATGACTTGTTGAAGAAGAAAGAAATTGTAGACTGCCTTTAACATTGCTTCAAGTATTAGCGACGATTTTGGTAGCTCGGATTGCTTGGATTACCGGGCTGTCGCATTCCACCTCCCCTTCCACCATCACCACCTCGAGAGAATCCTCCTCGTCCACCTCTCGTGCCATGCTGTCCACCTCTCATTACACCCCCAGGTCCACCTATAAAAGTATCACGGTACAACATACTATATCATAGCCTTTATACACTCCGTATAAACGCTTTTCTAAATTGTACTTACCAGGTCCTCGTTGTTGTTGTTGCTGGCCACCCATTGCTCTCATATTACCGTCGTTTGAATTCAACCGGCCACCGCTGCCATCCATTGACATTCTAGGCCTAACCTTCTTTTCTTCAACATTTAGTTTTAACCCGTTTTCAGCAGGATAATAAATCGGCTGAAAATGGAAAAACAGAAAATACAAATGAATCCGAATGGATCCGTATTACTAGAGAAAGTTAACCAACCAAGTCTTGCAAAACTTTGGTAACGACTTGTTGATCTTCGAAGGTGATGAATCCATAGTTAGGCACTTTTCCTGTATTATTTCCTTGTGGTCCTTTGCACCTATCGTTCGATTTACTGTGTATGCGCAACTCCACTACTCTACCATAAGCTTCGAATAATTGGCGCAAATCATCCTCCGATGCGTTAAGCGGCAAGTTTCCAAGGAACAATTGGTGAGCATCATTGTATTGACTCTGCCTCGTACCACGACGATCGCCATCTATAGAAATTGAAAAAAAGAATTGCTTTCAGTTTCTTCGAACGCTCGGGTCAAAAGTAACGATCGAAGAGATTCGGCAGAAAACCAACAGTCGCGTGTTTATATGCTCGCGTTACATTACGTTTTATTACGTCAGTCGTCGGCTTAAGAGCCTCCACAAGTGAACATTCATAATTTACGATAATCATTTTTACCTCGTTGTACCGCGCCCCCTCTTGAAGTTCGCTGTTGTTGATGTTGTTGATGTTGTGGTTGTTGATTTCCAATTCTGTGAGTCTGTTGTTGAGGTGTAGAAACATTGGTTGACGTACAAAGTGCGGGTCCACTGCTAGTTGGATGCATCGGCGATCTATCATCCAAACGCAAGTTTGTCATTGGAGGCTAAAAATAAAGATTAAGATATAAATATTTTGCAGCGTGTGCTGGTCAACTATTACAGAAATTGTATTATATGTTTATATACATTGCGTAAATTGTAAAATAAGCAAGACTTTGACCGCCGAAGATAATCACTGCAATCATAAAATATATACCGGTGACATAGACAACTTGGGAGCTTGAGGACTGGTAGCGCCAGTGGTACTTGGGAAGGATTTCACAAGATTGGCATACGTTTTCGGTCCACTACTGGTTACATTTGTGTTCGACACCTGATGTTCTGGTTCAGATTCTTGTACAGAAGCAGTAAATGTTTCAGCTTCAGGTTGTTCGCGAATCTCGTTTGCTTGAGCCTGTGGTTCATTCTCTGTTTGCGGTGACTGTTCAGTTGCACTGTCCATTTCTGTTTCTTGTACAAACTGCGTTTGCGATGTAGGTTCAGTTATATATTGATGTTGCTGTGCCGGTGCTGGAGGTGGTGGTTGCTGCTGCTGCTGTTGCGGTGGCTGTTGACTGATCAGCGAAGTTTCTTCGTGAACCGATCCGTTTAGAACTTGTTGCATTACAGGGTGTACCTAACAAGCAATTATTTTAACTAATATAGCGTTTTATTCCAGTGTTTTAGTTATAGTACCAAACTAACATGAGACTGTTGAGGTGGCGGAGCGTAATACATCTGCTGTTGTTGTTGAAGTACAGGTTGTTGAGCAGGAATAAGCGGTGGTTGAGCTTGTGGTTCGGTAGATGCAGCCGGTACTGAGAGTTGTTGTCCTTGATTTTGATGTTGATCTTCCTCGGGCTCGGAACGCGTTCCTTCTTCTCCTTCCCTCTCACTGGACTCACCCACGTCTCCTTCTACACCACCTACATCTGCTTCTTCCTCATCAGGAAAAATCAAATCTTGATAACGGAATATATCATTATGTACATAATACGTTTTCGGTGCTTGTATCGCCAATACAAATGTTTGTGTGAAACGACGCATTGGTTGTCCAGCGTTTGATAGTTCTCCAGATACCTGCAAATAATCATAAATAAATGAAAATAAATGTGGAGTAGAGCGCATTACTTAATATGTTTATATTCCTACTTTTACTCGTTAATTAGTATGTTTTAGATCAATGGATAATAATGAAAGTTACAATACAATGAAATTTATCAGAAATACTTTGTATGTTAATACCAGTACTTACTTGCACAACAACACCATTTTCAAGAGTTAGCTGTGAATCAACTTGACTTATCTTGGCATGACAATCCCGAAAGTTTAATTGTTGAATTTTCTGATGTATTTGTTTTTGGCCAATTGCTGGAGTTGATTCCCGATTAGAATCTAATCCTCCATGTACAAAGGAAGAATGCTGATTGTAGAACCTGTAACAATATTTATATAAACAAAGTTGCATTAATATACTAATGATACAGATTATCCCCTATCAAATTCCAAATTACATTACCTGTGAAGATGCGCAGGAGCTTGATTAAGTAAAGTATAATATTGTCGGACAAATTCACGACCGACATTTTGTGGAGAAGGGGATGCCTCCATGACCATTTTCTTACTCCTAACGTCTAAAATAATACTTTGCTTAAACAGCAATGGAAAGTTCACGTGGCTAATATTAAAATTAGAAAAATGTCTGCAACAGAAGAGAAACATGTGTATAATGTATATGAGAAAACAAATTATACAATATTCAGGTAAATAAAGTATATTCTTCCTTATACAACGATTACCTAACTGTAAAGACTTTTCAATCATAGCAAAAAAAATTAATAAATATTTAAATTAAAAAGAGTGGATGAAACATAAACTTGTGCATAAAACATCCAAAGATATATGATTGTACTAAAGCATATATATTTTGTAGCTTTTAACAATATAAATAAAAAGACAAGTACACTACATAATTAGATGAAAACCAAAGAAATGCACATCAATCTAAGTGGCTATCTGTGGATATCACATGTGAGTGATGTGCGTAACATTAAAATATTTGTACAAAGTATAAAGTTAAACTTAAAATCTCATGTACATCTTTTTTATTATTTCTTTGCCGCATTTGCGGTATTTCACAGGAATTAATTCATTGTCTTACAATAAAATTATATATATGTATATATATATACATATATGTGTATAAATTTGCACAGTTCATACAACAGTGGTAAACACAATAGAATCGCGAAACGTGCAATCTCAATCTGCGTGTGTTAAAATCTCGTTTGTTTCGAACAATTCTATATTAAACTAAGATAGATCGCGTAGATACACGAGTTACTCCAAAACATGTGCTCGCGTGAATACGAAATTTACAGTAATTCGTTTTAAAAAAGCAGTTACTCAAAAACAAGAAAATTGCCGATCATTCCTGAACTCGTGTACTGTGCAAGGAACCAGCGAGGTCGAGGGCAAAGGGGCCACCCGGTTGCATGAGCAAGCATGGCGATTTTTCTTGATCTCGGAAACGGTAACGCTAATCTCCGCCAGCGTAAGATTTCGGCAGAATACATTGATAAATAACGTTCAACGGAGCTATGAAAATATTCATTTAGTCGAATAGTAATTAGCAAACGGCAAATATCGTTCTAATTGATAAACGACAGGCCGGGTTCTTTTCACGATTTCGTATCATGCTTGTCTTCCTGGTTTGTTCTGAGCTCTTCCCTCCGAGAAGTCGAATGAAAGAACATCGGCAAAGCCGATTCTTATGGCGTTCTACACTCACCCGAAGATATCACTTATGCGCGACACAACCTCACTGCTTTTTCCCGAGAAAACGAGATATTGCTACAAAAAACAGAAAGCTTGCACGAACAACAACAGTTCACAATAATGTTAATTATAAAAACAGTTCAATGTATGAGTTCTCCAAGCACCTTGATGTCAGCACATGCAGCGGAACCTGCACAGAAGCACCGATCACAGAAAGATGAACGACTTGCTTACAAAAGTCAAGTGCTGAACCAAGCTTTGCGGATTTTATAGAAACTACATCATCGCCTGGAACGAATCCCATGAACGCATTTTTGCGAATGTGATATTCTAGATCGTTGATTGGTCGACTCGTTCGTCGCTTGCGAAATCGTCCAATGATAAGAAAGTGTGGCCATATCCTTAGCGAAGTATACGCAACAACCACCAGGTGGCTGATAAGACTTAGAACAACGTTGTTGTTCCCCGCAAGTTGTATATATGCATACAGAATTAAAATATTTTGTTAATAATGCGTATATTATAAACAATTAGTTAGATAAAAAATGGCCATGATAGACAAAAGTGTTGTTGTATAGGTAAATAAAAGATAAACAGGTTTAAATCTACTAATTTGTACGATAAAAATTACAATTTGACTTTGTAAAATGAAGTTCAATTTTACCTTGAACGAATTAAAACTTATTTTGAACGACTAATCAAGTAAAAATACCAAATAAACTTTGAATATTATGTTTCTAAGCATCGTTTGTTACCCAAATAAAATGTACAAAATTCTCGTATCTGAAATAAAATAGGATCTGCCATATAGAATGCTTTATCGACATATCTAGATGTATAATAAGGAAATGCTTCTAAAATTTCCTTTTTATTACTTGCTACTACATAAGAAATAATTTATTTGTGTGTCGGCACGATTGGGAGAATGTGGGTAAATGGATTGAATAATAATACTGCATTCTACATATTCAAACTCATTTGTTACTGAATAACTTGACGTACGTTAGAGTTATAACTTAATCATTGTATATTTAAAAGATTATTTTGCATATAGTTACGTCATGTCTGATCAATTAAATTCATACAAATCACAGTTAAAAGAACTGTTTCAAATAATGAAAAAACTGTTAGAATAATCTACTCCTTTACATTATTAGTAACAAAATGTTATCTTCATTTATTGTATGAGAATTAATTTATTTGTATTTAAAATATATTATTATGTTGAATGAGTACTAAAATCTATCGTATTTCATTGTGTCTAATGTATATGCGTTACTTTGCAATTATAATATATAACTTGAATTTATACCATAACCTACAAGAGAGATTTAGAACTCGATAAATACATTTATCACAGTTTAATCGTTTTTATTATGAAGTGATGCAGATATTCGTGATACTTTCATTTACGGAATTTGTGGATAAAACAAGTTCAGTCTTATATAATTATAGACACTCGAAAGTAGATACTTAACTATTGAAATTATAAAAAACATTCTTGTTAGTACATAAAATAAAATTACCCAACGATAAAGATGTACGTGTAGTATTGATTTCATTTTTCAGTTTAAATAAAAAATGGCAAACAGTTTTCTAGCATGTTTAATAATCACAAATTAAAAAATATTGTAGTTACTAAACTATGATAAAAGAAAATATTTTAATCCAGATTTCCTTCATTATTAAAAGTCAATCGAAATATGCATGGAAAAGAAAATGCAAGACAATCTATGTTCAATTAGAAGTCTAATTTCTCCATTTATTTCGATATTTTTTTAGGTTTACACGCATAACATAGTAAAGAAATAAAAATGACAAATTTTAAACATTAGGTTCATAATTTGCGCAATTATTATATGCACTGATTTTGTTCTCATGATACTTAAATTTAAATCCACAAGTATATTCCGTACTTGCAATAAAGATTACAAATTTAAAAAGTTGTTAACATTCATTATTAGAATATTGTTTTGGAATATGATTTTTAAGAATGTGAAACACAAACCTTTATATATAATACAAATTGAGCTCCAACGTTGTTTTTTTACGAATGAAGTTTTATAATTTGATGATTTCGTATTTTCTATTACAATTTATACAATTTTAGTCTATATTTAACCTATCCGCAAATTTTCTAATATATTTAAAAATATATTGTTAAAATGTTGAAGTATTAGATTATATCGAAACATAAGCTGTGTCTAGGATGTATAATTATTTTTGTTTCTTTAAAGGGATAGAATTGAATATATCACATGCAAAACTCGTTTTATATTTTTCTCTTGGCACAAATCACTAAATACGAAAATTGATTTTGTTTAATTAGTAACGTAATGTACAATTATTGCACTATAAAGTTCTGCAATACTGTATATACTAAACTGTAAAAAATTGTTGATTAAAAAGGATAAAGATTTAGAATTTTTTAATTTATGAAAATTGGAATTATATAAGTATAATTTATCTAATTTTCTAAAATAGTTTCTTTATGTTAAAATTTGATATATTACTAATATTTCCATTGTGAAATTAAAAGCAACACTTTCTTCTCTAATTTTTTTAATGTAATACTTTTGTGACATGGAACAGTTTTGAATTTGAGAAAAATACAATATTTCCTTTTACTTTAAAAACCTTATTACGATGTTCTTTTCCTAGAATGAAATTGTCGATATATAAATATAATGTACATGTGTTATCCTTGAGTGTAGAGTAAAAACTGAAATACCTAGCTCGATGCACGTACTGTAGTAGAATCAGCAAAATATTGTTTGCAATACAAATTCACTAAACCTCCGTGTCAGTCTTATTTAAATCTAGTATATCGACGTTCATCACTATATTTTAAAGAAGTATTGTGTATATATCATTTTAAAAAAAAATTAAATTATTAGGATCGGTTAACACAAATACAAACATACGCGAGATATATTATGTACACAACATGAATTTATTTTATCCTATTTTTCTTACCAATAAGGAAGCAATAATCTTTTTACTTCATTTCATACCTCCCACAATTATTATAAACAACTCGGTACTTCTCGTTTTTGTCTTAACGTAGCCGTGTAAAAAGTACATTGCCTGCTTACTCTTCTATAGTGGGTTTCATCTTATTAAGTTTAGTTTTATAGACAAATAAAAATAATCTTATTGTTAAAAATAGGGACGAAGTTGTTCTTCAACAGTCCCAAGCGGTGAATAAGAAAACTTGATTCTTCCTAATATCTGTATTTAAATTATTTTCCATCATCTTTTGCTTTCCTATTTGCACAAATATGTTATTACGTTACAATAGTTCATCATAAGGCATGTAACGTCGATTTAGTCATCCATACGTTTGTAATTACTACCATTGTACTGCATTAATAGTGTTTACGTACAACGTCAATGTGTTTACAAACGCACTACGATACGACAGTGCCTTACGCTGAATGGCGTAACGTACGATTAGTAAAAAAAATTAATGATAAATAAGATGAAATGCGAGACCAATGAGACATATGAAGTATTTTTCATACTGTACAAAAAGGGTTAACGAGAGATGGAAGAAAGCATCGTGTACCTATATGTATATATATATATACATATATAATATATATATGTATATATGTTTTGCTTTTGTTGTTTTCGGTAATACAAATGTATTGCTAAACGCAAAATGTGAAAAGCGATTACAGTTTTTGTCGTGACTCCTGATGATTCATTTTATTATTTTGCGGCAGTAATCTGCGTTGTTGAAATTCTTGTTGAAAGAGGCGTGGTTTAATGGAATGATGATTTAACGAGTTATGAGATTTGTTGTAGGTCAGGAAACCTGTAAAGAAAATAAATAATTAAAATATTTTAGTATGTATTAATTGCATTGCATGTTCTACATGTGTAAATTATATATGTAAACACATAAAACAATAACGTATGTTCAATGTAAATGATATTGGAAAAGGAAGAAAAAGGTTGTTGATATTGAAGTTATAGATGTCAGGAAAGTTATGATGACTCACCAGCGGTTACAATGCGAATTGCATTGCGGTCGCAATGAATGATTTCCATTAATAGGGTTGGTGCCTTTGGTTCTGACGACCACCTCCCCTCTGCTTTCCGCCGTAGCCTGAGCCTCCTGAAACAATACCCATGACGTACGTTAGTCCAGCAACTTCGTTATCCCCCTCTCCTTCCCACCGTATTTATTGAAAATTAGAAAAGACCATAAAAAGGTCGATTTATGGAAATTAACGCACGCACACTTCTATCAATAACAGAATAAAGTATGAAATAATATGAAAATACAGACTAACGTAATGGATATAAAACTACGAAGAATCTACATAGAGGCTACAGGCTAAGGTAGTAAGCTGCAGGCTGCGTTCTGATTCATACTCTCCTTTTCTCCTTATACATTTCTGGAATCTTGATATGCTGGAATACTAAGAGATTGTTGTATCGAATACATGTTTAAGAAACCTTTCGAATTACTTAAACAATCTAGAATAACCTTAAATAAGTCTTTATTTTAATCTTAGACTAATATTTTTTTTACACGCTGTAGTATCAGCATGATTTTTATATACTACTAATAAGAATAATTTTAATTATTTCTACAAAATAACCAGAAATGTTTAAGGTTAAGGATGTGTAAGTGAAACAAAGATGAGATGGATTTAGCAGTGTTTATATGAAATATAATTTAATTTTAGTGAAAAATTGTCATATTTGATTACCTATCAAATAATGCGTACCACTGTGCACAGATGAAAAACTGACAAACTTACCATGCAAAAGAAATAATGATATTTTAATTCATTCTTGCAAATTATTAATAATTAATTAGAGACACCAACAAAACAAACATTAGTTTTACGACATTTTCCATAATTATGATGAAAATAGCTATAATAAACATAACAATGAACATTAATAGAGTAACAATTATTACACATAAAAATGATAAAAATTAAGGAAATGAAAATTTTTCTTTAACCAAACATTATAATCGTATCGTATTTTCTTGTATATTATGAAGCGTTTCTCGAATAATTTTGTATTTCACTTGAAACAAAAATATGTATCCTGAATACTAACTTCTATGAAACGAATTGTAAATAAAGATAAATATGATTTTTAATCATTCGTAATTTACTTATTAAAATTACGAACTTGTACTTAATTGCTCATTAAAGTTGAAGTATTACTTATCATTAAGAATATGTAAAACTTCCACTTTAAAGTGTCGGTAAGTAGCTTATTAATTATAAAAATTTGTAATCTGAGTAAGAAAAAAGTATAATACTAATGAACTGTGCAAAAAAGCATACTTTTCTTATATGTATTTTTTTTAAATGTGTAATATGCATGCTACAAATAGAATTTTTATGTATCATTTGGTTAAAGAAAATAAAGAAATAAGTATTGATGTACAAAATGTGCAGGACACCATCTAGAAAAACAGGCGAAACAGATGTTAACGTCTGCGTAACAATAGAATAAAAATAAATATTTCTATGCACTCAGTAATGCGCATCAATTAACGTGTTAAAAATCCATATTATCCTTAACAGTATCGTAAGTATGAAAGTAGTAAAATATAAGTTTCATATGCTCACACGTACATGTACACACATACTTAGAGAAAATAAAGGGAAATGATGACGGAGGACAAAGGCAAACAAGACGGGAAATAAAGTAATGGCTGACAAAGAATAATTGATGAAATGAATGACTTTAGAAATCGGACATATGCTAACAAAGTGGGACGGACGGGAAAATACAAAATAGAAAAGGAACGCTAATGCGTACCTTTACCGCGTGCACCACCGCGCCCACCACTGTAGCCACCATCGTAACTACCACCGCCATAGCCATAGCCGTCTGCGTTTCATGGAACACACGGTACAAGAGACAGTGGGGTCAGTATTAACAAGTACCGGTAACTGTACTTTAATTTCTATGATAAAATATTACTATGATAATACCAATTATCGCAGGTGCGTAAACTCGCGTTAGTTATGTCTACGTAAAGAAAAATCTTGTCAACTTTAAACTTTATAAGTAAACACTTATTGAAAATATACAATAAAAATGTAATATTAAATCTTTATAGTACACAATATAATTAATCTCACAAAAATGTGACAAGATAATCTTGTCTTCCAAAGGGTTTATTGTTTGCACATTTAATATGATGTAACATATAACATAAGTGCAGAGGCTGTGCATACATTTTTTTTAAATTTGACATCGGAATATGCTATTTGAACAAATTACTCATTGAAATGTTTACAAGAAATGGCATGCACTTAAGATTTTATCGTTATGGCGAACAACTTCAATGTAATGATTATAATAATTCGCCAAAGTCCCAGGGAAAGGAATTGTGTGCAGGGTCGAACACGTAAATGTATGAACAAATGTAGCAATTGCAATTTACTATTACGTTATTCAAAATAAAACACTGATATCTCTACGCGGTGCGTGTACCATGAAATAATTTTATGGTAAATATGCCATAGTCTGAAACATTTTGTAGCTCTAGGTTGATTCGTTCTAAATGACTTTGTTTGCTCTTATGAATAAAGTAAAAATCATGCTGAACACAACGAAAAGCAATTAACGAAACAAAACAGATTGAACACAATTATTGCAGTGTTGATAATTTATTATTGTTAAAGGAGTGTGTTAAATTTGTATGAATGAGGTGGTTACGAAAAATTTGGTAATATGTAAAAACATGCAATCAGGATAAGTGATGGCAGGACCAGAAAGCAAGGATTGAAGGTTCAATATACCATTTCATACGACATATCGTCCTGTGTAGTTTTGCTTTAATGTCTTCTACACATCATAAATTCACATATAATTATGTTACAGTGACTGCGTGCATTTGAAGTCAGCGAGTCTGCAGAATTTACAGTAAGAACCGAAACTGAATTAATTTATTCCACGGATTCACTGACATCAATCAGTGAACGTATGAAATATTAATACTTTTATGTGTCGAGAAACTCTATTTGTAGCGTGCATTTAATAAATGATGAAGACCGTTCAAAAATGTTACTTTGTTAAAAGAGAAGGTTGTTTAAGTAGTTTGTCGCGTTAGAATTTGTATCTTTGTAAATATAATCTGAGTCCCGAAGAAAACTGAATGAAGTTCATTTTCTTCACACATTCACTGTTACATATTATATGATATTCTGCTTTTTTGAATTTCTTGTTAATGTTATATTCATTCGCATGTATGTGTGTATATATATGTATATATAAGTTAAATATTCATAAGGCATCAAAGAATATAACTTAGCAAATTGCTATAATAAATAGGTAGTTAGTCACAGCTCAAAAACAGCCAACCCTCTGGAAGTAGGGATTTACTCTTCGGATTATGTTCAACCTTTATTACGATTTCAAAAGTATTCTATTCTAGTAGAAAAATCGTGTAATTAGTATATATTTGTGCAAACATAATCCGAATGTAGTTTCTACGTATTTGAGCTGCTGGTTTACTTTGTTGAAATAATTTCAACATTCAATAATATTTAACTTGAATTTGAAAATATTAAGATTTGCAAAACATTCTGAACTACAATTATAGAGACTAATGCGTTATTGGTTTGAAATGAATTTAATCGAAAACATGGATAGTTTGAAAAATGAGAAATACCGCTGATCCGCCTGCAAACCAGCGCTCACCCTGCAGCGTCAGTTATAATTAATATCACACATCTTTTATCATTTTGTATGATACATACAAACAATACCAATTTTAGTCATTCCATCAACGTAGTACCAAGTAATTAGTACTATATAGAGGCAGACGATTTGGATTTATGTAATAGGAGTTAAAATTATACGTTAAGACCAGTTTTACTCAAAGCAAACCATTAGGGACGCAGGTAACAGGAACCTTGAGTCAGATAATTTTAGAAATTTTTCACTCGAGTTTCTTGCCACACATATATACATGCTTTAGATACTTGACACTTGTTATAGGATGAATTTTATCCAATCGGATACTGTATTTTAAAATATTCGCGTTCTCCAAACCAAAAAGTTCTGTATCGTAATTCATTTTTTGTTATGAACCGTATTTCTATTTTGTGTGGTATCTGTAAAAGAAAGAATTGCCGTGGTATAATATCAAATTAATTGCCTCAAAAATTAGACCGATTTGTACTTTTTTGTTCAGGTTTCTTAATCATTCGAATGTCATAACTAAATAATATTCAAAGCGAGCAAATGAACTCAAAGTCTAATATCAGATACTTTATCCGATTAAATAAAATACGTTTCAAACCGATTTTATACAATGGATACCAAGGATACTTGGAGATATATGTGACAAAATGTCCGATATTTGACCAAAGGCACTCGTAATTTCGAAGTCCTGCATAACTCCCTAAATTACAGCATTAAAAATGAATGAAATATATAGAGGAAGACTAGACAGGCTGAACATAAAAGATATAACTTATAATAATTTTAGAGTTATGATATCGTCTGCCGAATACACTGGGACGGTAGTAGCAGATAATCTTCTGCTATTGATTATTATGAAAAAGGAAAAAACCAAATTCTTCGAAATGATCCTACACAGCGATAAGCGCGTGTAAGTTCTTTAATAATAATCAATAAAATTACCGTATCCACTGTAGTCGTAACCACCATAGCCGCCGTACCCACCGCCGTAATAATCGTAGCCTCCTCCGTAGCCATCATATCCACCGCCGTAGCCTTGACCGTAACCGCCACCGTAACCGCCTCCGTAGCCACCTTGACCCCATCCACCTTGACCGCCAAATCCACGTCCTCTGCCACCTCTTCCGCCGCGACCACCTCGTCCTCCAGCACCGCCGCGCATCCCTCCCATACCGTCTGGCTTCGGTGTTGCTTTTTTCACGTCGACCTATGTAGAATATTTAATCGTTTAAATACAATGTCAATCATTTTTCACAATATTTGTTTTCTTCGCCAATTGTTGTTGAACGTACCTCTTTACCATTGATTGTTTGTTTAGGAGTTTTCAGTAATTCATTGACTACTTGTTCAGATTCGAAGGTAATGAAGCAGAACCCTTTCCGTTGGTTCTTTGTTTTATCGAATGGCATCTCTACCTCGACAATCTAAAATAAAGATATGATTTCACTCCACCGTCTACAGGAAAGAGATACAAATTTATTTAGTTATTTGGTAATACAACTTACAGTGCCAAACTGCGAGAAGAAATTCTTAATATCATCATCAGACAATTCTGTTGAAAGGCCACCAACGAAAATTTTACCGTGTCTAGCTTTCGCTTTTTTAGGATCAACTTTTTTGTTATTGATTACATGGTCACCAGCAGCCATAATCTGGAATTAAACATGACGTTTAGTAACTTTGTGAAAAGTTGCGCCTTCATCATTTATTTTATAAAGTAAACTCAGCAAATGGAATGTCTTCAAAAAAACTCAGTAGCAGAACTGACATTTAAGAATTATCATCATATTAATACGATAAATACGTATTCAATATATTTAAATTCTAATTTAAACTGTACTACGTTACCTTGTCTAGGGATTCGGCTTTTGCAAAAACAATGAATGCAAACCCTCGTGATCGTCCCGTATTAGGATCAGTCTTCACATTAATGCTCTCTATATCTCCGTACGTGCCAAAGTGATCGCGTAATTCCTCTGAAAATTAATAGGTTTATTTAAAAACAATAAAATTAGATATCTCTATTATACTTGATTTCGTTATAATAATAAACTCAGTTTATATAAGTCAATAATCTCATATGACAAAGTCATCTGAAGGTGTCCTAAGAGAAGCATCATTGTTTATAAATAAAAATAAAATTAAAAAAAACAAAACAAGGAGAAATACTCACTATCTGTGGTTTCCCAGCTTAAGCCACCAACAAACAATTTTCTGTAAAAAGCAAAAATAAAACAATTGTTGAATGAAACCAAATTGCAGGGACTATAGAATCAATCTTTTTAAAATGCAATATTCTATTTGTTACGATAAGATTTTTGTTATTGGTACATGTTTGAGAGTTTTACAATTATGTAATACATTCGTAAAATCTATCGTACGTTAACATTCGTCCTTTAAAATTATAATTTAATATTATTTATACGCTATAGTTTCGATATGACGAGTACACAATTTACTTATTTTTCTTTTTAAATACTCACTGACATGCATGGACTCAAAAAACAAAACTAAAAGATAATAAAAATTGAATGTACCTATCATTCAACGAATCCTGGTTACCTCCGCTTGACCTGCAAAGCAATGTTATGAATTTTATTACAATGACCTTTGAAATTAATGTTATTAAAAAGGACTAAGGTTGAAGCAAAAATTTAATGTCTGTTATAAATAATTTCCATTTATATTTGAAAAAAGGAGTTTGACTTGACCCCTGGAAAAATTAGAATAGAGTTAAAATATTAAAATTTAATATCAATATACAAGAAATGTAATAGACCGGTAGTATATCATTTGGAAAAGGGGCACTGGATAAATTTTTAAAGACATTTTGGTAAGGAATTTTATTTAATAGGTGAAATATGTAATTTATTAGAAACTTCTTATGAATATAAATATAGTTATATACTCATGTACAAATGTATTCTATAGTTAAGTGACCTACATTAATGTCTACTTTAAAATTTGGAAGAATATCTTTGCGAGAGTAAAATTATCTTAATTTGGTAGTAACGATATTAAGAGAAACATGATAATACCATTCCTAGAATAAATGAACTCACTGATACAAGGTTATCATACAAAAGATACGTGGTTCGTCCTAAATAAGAAACCTAGGATTATGAGACACAACCATGAGAAGACTGCTTTGCACACCACATAGACCTTGATTTGAACTTCAGATAAATGTGCTTGTCAACAAAAATTAAAAGAAAAAACTTGCAAAACGTATATGTAAAAATTAATGCAATGAGAGAGCAAAGTACTTTTCATGACGTTCATGTGAACCCGAACAATAGTTACAACTCCAGTTGACATACAGCTGCTCCTAAAGGAAATAAGATTTAACTTTTCCAAGTTGAACTCTGACTGCTGATTGGCCCAAAGAATTGGCATATGGTAGATAGACTGCAACTCTATTAAAAAGCTAAAAAAATTGTTTCCACATTACAAGTTAATGATGGTCACTTCTTGATACTTTTTAATATCTATATGCACACAATATTGGACGTTTATTTATATTTATGTATATATACGTATATATATGTTATATGTATTTCTCTTTCTCTCTCTCTTTGTTTAGTCATCAGCAAAATATTATTATGTTTCAAGTCCTGATATACTTTTCAGCCTTTTCATATACAAATACAACGAGCTGCAATATTTTTCACTTTTCTGGCAGTATGATGATAGTTGTCTTTACTTAGATTGATCTTTTCATATATCATCTAGGGCTGGTGATAAATACCGTAGGCACCAGTCACTCGCCGGTAATCAGTTGTTGGTCGGGTCACGGTTAGCCGGTTGCGAGCCGCCCGCCATAATCGCACTGGGTCGTTTGCCACCTGCAGACCAAGCCACATAAACTGGGTTAATGGCATTCCGACCTATTGGAGTTTTTCGCATTGGCCCTAGTGACTCTGTGCTTTGATCACGCCCAAACAGCTTTGACATCGGATCAGAAATTACTCTACGCGTGACCCAGCAGGCAAGTGTGTGTCTGTGCGAGACTTATTGATCTGACGTAATTGACTCGATTTCCAGTGCTTGTGTTGTGACGAAACATGACGGACTTGAACTTGACGTAGACTTCTCGCAATAAGTCAGACTCGGAAGACAATCATAAGGCTTCACGTTTCAGTTCACAGATCCCAGGTAAGCGTACATATTGTCAATCGTAAACAATTGACTAACCAGAATTCTGCTGCAATGTATCAATGAGGAAGACTCGGCTGGCCAAAAATGCATTTCAAAGTTTACGCTCTATAAAAATATTACAATTATTATTTGCGCAACGTGTACAAATTTTATCATTGATGAAATCACAACTTCTTTTTATGAATTACAAAACTAGAATAGAATTAACTAGGTAGGAGAGCAGAAATAAGGAGTTTACACAAAATTTTAAACAGATAAACTTATACCTCGCAACAACAGCACATATAAAGTTATAATTAATACTTATTCTTATATGTATACAAGTATCTTATCTTAATTTTGCAAAAAAACAACATGCAACATTTATTTTTATTTCTCTCGTATATTAAGTTCTCATTCTGAATAGTAGAATGCCAGCCGTTTGTTATTTGCTTTTGTTACTTTATGCATAGAAATCACGTCCCTTATCGCGCACATTGATTATTCCATAATGGGTAAGAAGAAGCATACCTCCAAATTCTCATTGCAGCTTATACAAAATAACCACAATAATTTTCACATTTAGTATTTATCATAATACTTTTTTTTCACAACAGCACAAATATAAATAAAAGATATATAATGCGTTTTCATGAAATTTGAACATTACATCTTCTTTCCCAATATCGTTTTAAATAATTCTACTAGTTACAATCTAAAAATAGCTTACCCATATATTTGCAAAAACATACCCCAAACTATGCAAGAGTTTGTGACAATCCAAATCTGTAGGGATACGAGGAAAGAAGTCAAATTCCTTTGGTATAGAACCCAAAATGCTGTGATAATGAAAAGAGAATAAAAACGAATGCAGTGCGATATTACAAAATATTTACATAGACCGTGTTCCGTACATCAACATCGACATCAGACTAAACTCGTCGGTGGGCAAATCGTCCAGCTTGCGATCTCGTTACGCTGAAAAAGGGGAAAGGCAAGGTGCTGTGCCACCAGCCACCAAGAATTCTTACAATCTATGAATACTTCTAGTAAATATCACGGCGTTACAAAATAATAAACATTGCGCATTACCCTCCCTGAATAATCTATATATTCATTATATTTACGTAAAATATTATTTAATAAATATTCTGATTTATCGCATGTACGCGTGAATTTGTGCGTGGAAAAATTCGAGGACGTGATACGATGTAAAATCGTAACAAAAGATGAAATACGAGCCCAAGCAAAGTACCGCGTCGAACCATTTATACAGAATATCTTTAGTCGTCAAAATTCATCGTTTCATTTTTACTGCTTTTACACCAATGCGTGGGCGCGCCCTTTCTCAACTTGCGGCCGGCATTCCTACTTGCTTGATCGACTCACTTCTTTTTACTATCGTTCATAGTTTGCTCTAAAAAATATTAATATCTAGGGATTTTCCATACTGCAGCAGTTGAAAATAAGTTAATTGTAATACTCGAAATACTTGTTTTATCATCGATGGAGATGGATTACAATTTTGGGAACCTCGCACATCCGCCATTTTGTCATTCGCGATAATCATATCGCACAAAGCATTTCTCGTACGTAAGCTCTTATTGTGAATTCACGCGCGTTTCAATTATCAATCAAATCGAAAATCGATATTTTCGTAAAATAACGGTTGATTTAAGTAGAGAATTTAGATTTAAGATGGAAAAGGTTACCTGTCCTCCTGCGATTCTTGGCCATTTTCTGCGGCGTCCCCGCCGCCGTTCTCAGCTTCGCCGTTCTGCTCGAAGTTTTGATCGGCGATATCTTCGCTGAAGTCCTTGTTCTCCTGATCGGCCATTATTTATTATACTTTTTTGTTTTTATTAAAGAAAACACAAAACACAATTAGAAATCGTGCTTTTAGGAATATTAAAATACACTGCACGAGCTAACAACACTCTCACGTCCGTACTGTTCGGCCGCCGAATGGAGAAGGGAGAGGTACGACTTGCGCTCAGTTTGACTCAGTAGATTCCGCGCAAAGCATCACGGAATCTCTTTACCTCCCCCTAATGTCGCCGAGCCAATCAGATTTCACCACTCAGTAACGTATCTTTAAAACCTAATGACGGCTCCTGTGACAACAATTTACATTGTCAACAAATATTTATATTTACAGTATACTTTATGCGTTACACATAAAACCATACTATTCTCAAATCATTTCTTATATTATTACTCTCTACTATCTAATTTGCCGAATAAATACAATATAAAATAAAATTTAAAAAAAAAGTCGAATTTTTAGCTGCACAATTTCGTCGATTGATTAATTTTATCGATATTATCCCAAACATCTGTCTAATTATTGTTATATTTATTTTGATTGGGAGCCTACATTTGTGCAGTTTCTTACTGCGGAGTAACTATAATTGTAGACCTGAAACCACACAGAATATTTTATGTGTACGCAATAGGCGAAGTTCCAAAGTTTCAACGCATTGGTACGTCCCTATCTCACCAATCGATGTCTGCCGGGCATTCCACGATGTTGAGGGGGAACAGTGGATATAATGGCATGCACACGAAAATTTTAGCTTCGGCGTGGGGAGCGAAGCGAAAACGAAGAGCCAATGAGATTGGCGACAAATGCTGAGGAGTACACGTCAGCCAATAGGAATTCGTTGAAGAACCGGCTCCATTCAGTAGCGTCAATTCCCAGAATGCTACGCGTGTAATTTCTAAGAAATCAATAAAATATCGCATACTTATTTTAGTTCATTTATATGTATTTTCATGCACAACCAAATTTTAATTTTTTTCGTACTATTACTATTTTTTATTCGATTATATTAGTAAGAAACGAACAATTCAATTTTCGCGTCCTTCCTCAATAAAGCGGGAAACGTTTATCGTTGATTCAGCGTTCTCATCGTAGACGCCTAGTAGACGCTAGCAGCTGGCGCTAGCGTCGGCACAGATGGCGCCACATTTCAGACGCTTCATGTTTATTTGTGGAACATTGTCACGATTTACTTACTGATTATTCCATATTTTCATTTTAAATGAAACACTTTACAACCGTATCGTTCTGTCGCTATTTCATATGATGATAGTACGAATTTTGTAGTTTAAAAACGTCCAGAATACGTTGTAATGTATTATGCATCAATGACAAATTAAAGCGTGTCATTAATTACTGCTGTCCCCCTTTTATTCGAAACAGTCTAACTTTTATACGTATATGTATCTACTTATTAAATGTTCTTTCTAGATAATTTTTGTTTTCATTACAAACTCATGTTTAACCAATATATTCACTAATAGCGATAGGTATTGAGCTTCACGTTATACGCATATATAATTAAATTTATTATATAATGTAGTAATATCCTAAAAAAGGAATATTTTGATGAAATAAAAATGTAGTCTATTATACTACTATTATTTTAAACTTTTTATTAATCCAATATTTGCAAGAAACATTTCTATTTGTTGAAAAATCTTTTTCCAACGCATAGAAATTTACAAAAATATTCCTATTGTTGAAAAATCTTTTTCCAACACATAGAAATTTACAAAAATGAATTGACGTTTGAGTCAAAATTTACGTTTGTTCTTTGTTTGTTAATGGAGAAGTCGCCGCGTATTTGATAAATTTATAGGTATTCGTAGAATAAAATTTATCGAGTAAAATATTTTGGATAGATATATCGTATCACAGAAATGCCTGAGGAGCAGAAGGTAGAGTTATCCTCCCCATCCCGTTTTCTAAAATAGGATGTCGAGGGGAAACGTATGTATTCCGGTTGCCCTTTGATAACTAACGTGTGCTCTGCCCATAGATTTTGAGGCTACAGGATGTTTGGCGTACTTGCAACAAAATACGTGCAGCTATATTTCGCGTAGGGTTTAACTTATGGAAATATTACAGACCTCTAGATCCCGACAATAATTGTTTAATTTCAGGTACAGCTATATGAATTATATATTAGGTTGTCCCAAAAGTTTCTTTCGCTTTATTAATAAGTAATAGATGCACAATATTTTATGTTTTATGTTACATTACTGAATTGTGCACGATTCATGTTGCTCCATTACTCTTACAACATGAATATCTATGAAATTAGATTGTCTATTTATATAAACACGACCACATCAAATAATTGAGTGGATCTCCCGAAAGAAACTTTCGGGACAACCTAATATAAACACACTGTCGTTTCGAACAAAATTACTTATTATTTTAATACTCGTCTCTAAAATAAATCTCGTTCGATTTTGTACTTCTGATAAGTTTAAATCGATATAACTGTGTTAAAGTCTAATATAGACGTGTACTTTGATCCTTCGCCTTTTTTCCATTTATCACAGATTTTATTACAATACTAATTATTATTTTGTATTCAGTGCTTTCTATTCGATCATTTTACTTTACATTAATAGGATAATCATTACAAATTACAACACGTATTATATCGTAATGTCGTTGTTAATCTACAGAATCGAAGTTTGTTTCCGTGTTGGCTGGCCCATTGAAAGATACAATTGGTTTATCTGACAAAGAAATTTGCGATTTGGCTGATTATTTTCGTGTTCAAGATGGCAGGATCTTTTATACGCAGTTTTGTACAATTATTCACGATAGTGGTATGAATACTTCTTTATTAAAGTCTTAACTATGACATCGACAAAATATACATATATACGTATTTGAAATTTAATATTCTAGTAATATCGATGGTAACTATAAATGATATTCGTGGGTATATAATTATTGGACTGTGGATTTCATGCATTTATTATATAAACTAATACAATAAACACGCGCTAAACATAATCAAACGGTGTGTGTACTTATACAAAATTAAAAAGCAATATTATTATAATAATTGTAGAATATATTCAACATACAACGTCGTAAATGCATAAAATTCGCAGTCTAATAATTATATACACATATGTATATGTTTGGGACGAATTTATATATAATTTTGTTCGTGCATTTCTCAAACAAATGTATAATATTGCGAAATCTCTAACTTGAATTTACCCATATTTTTTGTATGTACATAATACGAGTATTACTCGTTATTCGAAAAGATAACGTATAAATACTGTAGGAATAAATCATGAGAAACGCTACGTAGAAAATTTTGAAGCCACTGGCGTGCCCAAAAAGAGAGGAATTCGTCGTTGACCGGTATACCTGACCCGGTACCGTTAAGTCAACTGTTACATCCTCTCCCAAATAACATTCGTCCCTTGGCCATTGTACTCGGCTTTAAACTAGCGAAGTTATATATAAGGTGCAGTAAAATGGCCTCACAATACAAAGAGTTTACCACTTTCTCCACAGTCCCCGAATTTGATAAGAATAAACCGTCCGTAACCGGCTTGGAATGGGAAGATCCGGAACACGTAAATCGGCTGAGTCCAACCGAATATCGAAAGTTATGCCTTATCGTTACTCAAATAGCTATACTTGTCAACAAAAGGAGGCTCGTGTTAAGGCCTTACTTTCAAGATTACGAGCTGGTGCGTCTGAGGTTGCATTTAAATCGTCACGCGATATGCTTAAAATAGTAATATCGAGACGATCCGATTACGAAATTGTTTGTGTTTTGTACGATTTATTATTTATTGTCGCCGCGATTCATGCTTCGTTATTGTTATTCGTAGATTGCGAAAAATGCCGGTACAGTGACTTTCTCGCATTTTGGACGAATCTTGAAATTCATAGGCGTCGTCCTCGCCTCCGATGAGTTCTGCTTGCTCGTAAAAAGATTCGCGAAAGACGCCTACACGATAAATTATGTGGCGTTTTTACAGGCGATCGACGAAGTACAATCTTACTTGGACAAACACGGGATGCTATCTCTCGATGGAGTAATGTCCCACGCTGATTATGATCGTCATTGATTATTTTCGTACGATACGTGATTTTAATTAAAGTCTGATAATATTTTTAATTCTTTTCGAAGGAATTACTCGATCAGTTCCCGGGTCGAATAATTACGGCGGAACTACCAAAATACCCTCGACCGGAAGTGGGTAAAATCCAGCCTAGCAAAGTATTTGGAAAGCAAGCTGTATTTCATCCAGTGATGGAAGAGTCTAAAGATTTAATGCCTTTGAAGGAAATCATTCAACGCATTCAAAGACACATTCTCGAGACTCGGATGCGTATTTCTGAATATTACAAGGTGCATTTTATAATGGCCCTTATTGTATCACACAGACGTGTGGTTTTAATTAATTAGACAGTTCTGTTTTATTACTTTTCTGCAAGAAGAATTTGTGACGGGATAAAATGGGTTTCAATAATGGAATAGATTTCTTTATATTTTGTTTGCAATTTTGATGTAACGGAAAGAATTAGTGTAAGAACCGGAAATGGGGGGTAGTTGAGACGATTCTGAAGCAGAATTTCCTTTGCAAAAAGGTTGGATGGTGCTTCGTTTTTGAATTATTAATGAAAAACTACCGACCATCACATTTAAAAATAAATCACCATCCGACAATTTCGCAAAGGGAATTGTCGTTCAGAATCGTCTCAGCTCCCCCAATTTCCAGTTCACTTATTCTGGGACACCCTGTATAAATATGAAATGCATATAAAGTATTCAATCAGAAATTAATCGATGCTATTAATAATAGAGATTCGATCATTTGAATGTCGGAAAAGTGACGATTTCTCAATTTAAAAGAGGCTTAGATGGTCTTCAGATTTCTACTCTAGGACGTTTGTACCTAGCAGAACCGGAAATCGACGCACTTGTTACTCTGTACAAAGACCCAAACGATCCAGATCGTGTCTGTTGGCGTACATTTCAAGATGATATCGATCAAGGTAGTTTTTGTCACATCGAAGATTTCTTGAGCGTCCATTAAATCTGTCTTCGATATTTTTTAACCGACTTCGAAAAGGAGGAGGTTACGCAATTCGACATGTATATTTTTTTTTTCAATATAATTGATCGCTTTCGTAGAACTCGCGTGGTTCTATGAATGACTTGTATTCCATTTTTAGTGTTTACTGTCAAGGAACTCGAAAAATTGCCGAATTTGAGAATCGAATCTCCGCCAAAAGAAATAGCAGAGTTGAGTCGAAGGGGAACGAGTGACTGGCAATGCGAGAAGAAAAGCATGAGAGATCTTTGCGAAGAAGCGTTACAAAAAGTTCGGAACCGTGTCAAGGAAAGGAGGATTTTGATGAAGCAGTTTTTCAAGGATTACGATCGGTCGATTCATCTGATAACATAATCAATGTTTGAAACATTCTTAACAAATACGAAATTACATATTTTACATCTCTTCAATTAATTTTTAGACATAACAATGGACATGTTACACGATCACAATTGCGACAAATCTTAACGACCGTGACGGTATTGATTTCTCCCGAAGAGGAATTCGCATTGGAGCAGAGATACAACGATGATTTAGGTTTTAATTACATTTGGTTTTTAAAAGAATTAGAATCGCATCCGGTTGAGAAACCTCTGTATGACTCTATGCTGGAAGAGAAAAGGAAAATTAATGCTGAGAAACCGCCACCGGAACCCGATTCCGATGAAACAAATATTGTCTTAATTTTAGCTAAAATCAAAGCGAAAATCGTGCGCGAAAGAACGAAGGTAAAGTATTCTATTAATATCTAGATTTAACAGATTTCTATCAAAGACGTCCTCTCTGAAACATCACAGACAATTTTCTCAAGAGGCGTTTTTGCAATTGTAAATAGACCCTTTATTTATCATAGAAAAAAGTTCTTTTTTTCTATCTATAATAATATCCTAGAAAATAGTCTGGAACGTTTCAAAAGTTATACTTTGTATTATATTTCATCTGGTGTAAAATATCTTTTATATTTATCACCTTTTTCTAAGTTAATAAGATTGCTCCATTTATATTTTCCATATACAGGTTACCGAATTTATGCGCCAATACGATACTCATAAGCAACTCGTTATAAAAAGATCAGAATTTATGCGAGGCCTCGATCAACTGCGTTGCAATTTGACTTGCACAGAAATGGGAACGATTATGAATGTTTTCCAAGCGCCCCTAAGGTACAAAATATTATTTGAATTTCGATCTTTTTTATTAACCTTCTTTAGAATATTCTAGAAAAAAATGGGACATTTATTTAAATAATTTACTTTATTAGAAATAACTTTTTTTTTTTATATTTGACTCCAAAATATGTTTAGTTTTATACACTGCGTAACCAAAACGATTCATTACAAATTGGTCCATTTCTAATTATCTGTACTTTAAGAAAAAATGATCGTATCTCCATGTTCTGATATCTCCTAAACACTTTTCTTCTTTACAAATTTGATATTTTGACGCGCTATCTGGATCATATAGATCGAACAACAATTTTCTTATGTAGAGTTACGTTCATATTAGTCGGAAAATAGAGCGGAAAATTAATTTTCTTAACACATTACTTACCGGCAGACGTTATTAGTCGTGATACTGCCACCGTTTATCGACCGATAAATTGTTTCATTGATTTTGGTTATCAACTGGCCAAAGAAAATTAGCTTTTTCTTAAATTCAATATCCATATTGTCTTCAAACTCGAGCAGCTTCAATTTCAATAAGAAATTTATTCAAATAGTTGTGACAAGTTTGAAAACAGTATGTATTACCGCTCCTGCTAATTTTAGTGACCGATCGATAACCAAAATCAATAAAACAATGTAATTGATTCGGTCGATAAATTGCAGTGTCAAGTCTAATAACGTGTGTCGGTAATTATGTATTTAGTAAGAAAATTCAATACGTAAATATTTCAGCTTTGCGATTTAATTTTGAATTTTAAAGAGCAAACTACGTGGATTACGTGAAATTCGGTGACGCGGTCGAGGAGGCTGTTGCCACAGGAAGCTTAGAACGAGCTCCACTTTTAGTGCCTGTGCAACATGTGCCGTCGGAAGCTTCTCCGAAAACGTTCTTAGATTTCGATGAGAGGCATATGGTTACGGCGGCAATGGACAAGCTGTCTAGAGTTCAGCAACCGAACCTCGAAGAGTTGTTCAAGGTTAGCAAATACATTCAAAATCAGAATATATCATGCAAAATAATTAGAGAATATCACATTCGAACATTGGATTTTGGTGTATAATTTGAGTAGTAGAGGTGAAAGAAATGTTAAGCAGCGTGGGATGTACAAGATATAATTGTTTTCATGCGAGCTGTTGTTTATTTGTTTAAAACAAGTTATTCTCAAATAAAGTGAGTTTACGCGCTTGTAGGGCGTTTAGCGTGTGTACAGGCGTGCACTCGACCACACTTTTGTTAGTAATTTGTTTCATTTACCAAAACTGAAGTTAAAATCACCGAAGCCAATTAACTTCCGCTTTAGGTGTCCCCTATTAATTAAAAATAAACAAAATAAAAATTGTTGAGTACGAAGTAACATATTGAGATTTGATGACATTTCTGGTATTTATCAGTGTTATTACACAAATTAGTTATCAACTCTATATTCTATCTTTTAAAAATTTACTTGCAAAGTTTCGATAACAATTATATTTTACGGAAATTCGTTTAGTTCAGCATTTCAAACTTGTCGACTTAGAAATAATATTCTCTCCTTGATTTTTAAGATAATATGTAAATATTCTATTTGTTTAAATCGATGTTTTGTATTAATTTAAAGCGCGTGTTCTGAACAATTTCGTATTTTTCTTTGAGATTTTTCTCTAAATAAAATTCTAAATTCTGTTAACGAAGTCATATTTTGTTAAATTTACTTGAACCACCTTTTGTATTTAGTACTACATTATTAATAATACACGTTTAATAAATAACTATAATTGCTATTGAAGTAACATTGTTATTTCGAGTAGTACAGAATCACTAATAAATAATAATTGTGTGTACTAATTTATGTACAACTCTTTTAATATTATTCTTTAATTACAGGACTACGATAGGGAAAATATCGGCACGGTTTCGAAAGTCTGCTTGATCAAAGCTCTTTCCGTTAGACGTATGTTACAATTGATCAGCAACAGAGAATTGGACGCTGTGCACAAATGTTTTTCCGTCGAAAGAGGCGGCCGATTGGAAATCGATTATCGAGCATTTCTGCGAGCTTTGCACCTCATGCGAGAGAATAGGAAATACGTGCATTTCTAAATCTGTATATTGGAACAATCATGAGTAAAACAAATATTACGGGTTAGTATACATACACCACAACGTATTAAATCGGGCTTTACTAACAAGGTAATTTTAAATTGAAGTTAGAAGAAATAATTAACATATTATATATTATAATATAACATATATTATATATTATACATTATATATTATATATTATACATTATATATTATACATTATATATTATATATTATATATTATACATTATATATTATATATTATATATTATATATTATATATTATATATTATATATTATATATTATATATTATATATTATATATTATATATTACAGTCTTCCTCTTATGTGCGCACGTAGTTTTTCTGAAGCTACAAAATGCAATTTCATATTTCGTTTGAAACAATTCGTAAGATCGCGATTTTTTATTATGTACAATGTTTTAGAGTGTTTCAACACAGAGAATATTACCTGCTGCCATTACGTGTATACGTACATATTTTCATGTCTATTTGTAAACGTTTACCTTGATGCAGTTTGTTCCTGAAAGAATGATTAATTATTATCTAATTATTTTTTATTAATAAATATCTTCGTAGCAAATGAAGAACTGCATACTTTAATGGATTAAGGGTAATGCTATAGTTGTTACAAACTTCGTCCAAGATCTATCGAGTATATGTGTTACTAAATTTGCATACATCATTTAGAGTAAAAGTGTATCATATATATTTACACGTGTTGTGTTACATACGTATATTGTATTCAATCGATACCACAATAAAATTTGTAATATTAACTTACGCGTAAATCGATATTATATGTATACTATTTAAATGACGAGGTTTTGCAGGCCCTGGCTCCAATATCATAAATGGTAAACTAATGACCGCTCGGTAAATGTCGTTGATTCAAGGTTTTAGACCAGTGGTTCCCAACACAGTGTCCATGTGGTATTATGATACCATAGTAATCGCAAAAACGATCTCACACATGCATCAAACGACTCGTTGTCAGAGAGTAAATTGTGTTTAGAAAATACATTCAAAATTAAAATATACCATGCAAAATAATTAGAGAATATCACATTCGAACATTGGATTTTGGTATATAATTTGAGTACTAGAGGTAAGAGAAATGTTGAGCAGCGTGGGATGTCTTTGTTATCGTACGCTTGTTTCAATGTGCCTTGAATGTTTCGTTCAAATTCTTAGAAAACATGACAACAATTTAAAAAAGAATTCGGTTGATTTGAAATAACGATAGTGATGTCTAGAATATCTCGAAGATGTCAGTACGAAATGACTTGATAAAATTACCAAATGTAGTTTAAAACATATCTAAAATATTCTCATGGTAAAAAATAAAATTAAGGAAATTTTTCTCAGTAAAAAATTTCATGAAAAACACTTAATATTTGGCTTCCTATTTTGGTTTCTTTTTTTAAGGAGGTATTCTAGCCTGAGTGTCAATTTTCAGACATTTTTGGGAATTTTTTTATTAGTCATTGCATATCCATTTATTCGTATTTCAAGAATATACATTATTCATTTTTCGTGAAAATAATCAACGTTAAATATAATACAAGCAATCTCGAAATAATTATATTCCCGGTTGCCATTGTGTCGTTCGTTCTGCTCACCTGAGATGAATAAATCAAGAAACATTCTCATTAATACGGTAATGCTAATCGATTTTGACTTTTACTTCCTGACGTTTTCTCTACGAATTATGAAACCTGTCCGGCTAGCTTGTTTTCATGGATGTACACTAATCGTCGGATCACCTTGGTTTGATGGAGATCTTTTGCGGAGGGACAGTTCTGCGCGAGACATTTGACAGATATAAAGAAGCGCGTGCTTCGATTAGTTTCAGTTACTTTCATCTTTCTCCAGTATCGCAGGTGTCGATACGCTAGAGTTTCGAAGAACGTACCATCGACTCAAAGAAGGAAACATTTGATCGAGTTTCGAACAAAAGGGTTAGTATAAAATAAATGAAACAATTGTAAATGTATTTTCTTGCTTTTGCATAAATTTCGAACAAAGGGATTAGTATAAAATAAATGGAACAACTATAAATGTATTTTTTTTTTGTTTTTACATAAATTTCGAACGAAGGAGTTAGTATAAAATAAATGGAACAACTATAAATGTATTTTTTTCCTTTTGTATAAATTTCAAGATAGCTGTCATTATTACGACAATAATTATTTATACAGAACACTTATCTCCCAATTTACACGGTTTTTAAAATAGGATAGTTAAAAATAATTATACTTACAAAAAATAATGTATACGATATTCAGAGAAATTGATTTTCCATGTCAATTATTATCATTGTTGTGATAATGAATATTATGCAGTGCGAGGTACTTGATGGAAAAATTCGTGAATGTGATGATCGCGTCATTAACTTCGCAAATGTCGTGTAATTAATTCAATTAAAAAATGTGTAAAACTAGAAATTATTCTTTTGCTCAGAATTTGTTGTCTTCTCGAATTCTAACAGAAATTATTTATTTCGTTTATGAGATCCAACGTAACGAAGCTCCCTTTTTATCAATTACTATTTATTTTTCATAAATAAATAAATAAATATGATTCTTCGATTTATAACACTACAATACATTATTTTGATAGATTATTGAAACATTTTTCTACTTTAACATGTGTGCCTGGGAGTATAAGTTCAGATTGTTAACCAATGCTTACTGTTTCCAATAAACGTAACGTTCATGCATTTTAACTAAAAGTAGCTCCAATTTAAATAAAATAAATATAACTAATTCTAATACTAGTGACGCCATCGGTGGAGAAACGCCCAAGTTTGTAGTGAAAGTAGTTCCCACCGTTTCTATAAGGTGGGGTCACCGATATCTTTTTTTTTATTTATTTTTAAATTATTCACGTTGATTATTACAGTACGACATTTTCTTATTGCTAAGTTACAAAAATAATATTTGCTGTACCTTATACATTATCAATATTTGTGGCTATATCTATTTGTACATTTTCTTACACTAATGATATGCCACCGATATCTTTATTATAGCACTTGAAACTATAATAAATATATGTTCAGAATATAAGTGGTTTTATTTTCAAGACCTAATGATCACACGTATTGCACAACCAGAAAGGTATTTATCAATTAACAAATTCAAACAGCAATTCAAAAAGAAAAACGGAACAAAAGACGGTAAAAGAGATCTTCCGAATCGATAAGGAAGTTTCCACCAAAGTTCAGGTGATAACTCACTGCAGAGTCGATAAGGAAGTAACCATTTACCAGGTATCGGCCACATTATTATTTATTTTTTCATAATATTCATAATACTTATTTTTCATAAGTATTCTAAGTATCTCAATGTTTAGTTCTTGTAAAAAATGATCTATGTTATACTCTGGTTTCCCTTTTACAGCCATAAGTTTTTTAAATAATTTTTTCCGCTCTTCATTGTGTATTGTAGACTCATAAAATATGGTTGACATCATGATCGGGAGAACCACAATCAACCATATTTCGGACTTTCTATTATTTTTAGTCTGGCTAATGATTCATTACAATTGTAATGATTTCTTCTTATCTCAGCAATAAGTATCGACCTCCTTAGTTTGCAGTGGCGCCATCTAGCGTCAACAGTTAAAAAGTTACTTTTACTAGAAACTTGGGCGTTTGTCCGCCGATGGCGCCACTAGTACTAAAACCAGTAATATTATGTTGAATTATTAATAAAATTGATGCTACTTTTAGTTGAAATACGTTTACGTTATGTTCATTGCAAATAGTGGTCATTGGTTAATAATATGAATTTACAGACTCAGATACATATATAAAATCAAAAAACTGTTTAGATAATTTGTAACAGTAATTCATTAAAGTGAGAGTTTAATATTTAGTACTCTTTTTACTTTTGTGACAGCGACGACTCTTCTCGAACAACTTTGATATAATTTTTTAATTATTCCACTCGGAATGTTATGTCATTCAATTCGTAATGCCTCAGAGAGTTCTACATTTTTTGGGTCTTTTTTGATTCGAGCTCTTTCCAAGCAATCCCAGACATGTTCAATAATATCTAAATCGGGACTTTCAAGTACCAAATTCATAAAATTTAATGATTCATCCTCCTCTAAATCTTTTAAATAATTTTATACAATTCTATTATAGCTGAATATACGCGTAGTATACCAGTGTAGGTGTATAAAGAACAACAACAAATATACATAAAATAAATGTTCATAAAATAAACCTAAAGTAATGAGATGAATATATTGGGGACAAGATTAAGCCTATTTTATATTGGAGCTATTATAAAGTACTTCATTCACGAAACCTCAAAAATCCATGCGTTCGAGTAACTTTGATATTTAAGTCACATTTTAAACATCTGATAAATTGGTTTTTAGGAAAAACTGTATTAAGACACTGAAACCTCAAAAATCCATGCGTTCGAATAACTTTGACATTTAAGTCACATTTTAAACATCTGATATAACCACAGTTATTACACCTGTCGCTTCTCGAATGCAAAGAGTTCTAGTTGAGAATTTCTCGTATCATCAGTCAGGGATACCGTGCGCTTGACTTTCGGAGCAACGTTACAAGCTCTTAGGACACTTACGCGTAACTCTCAATGACCGACAACGAGATCCGCGCTTCGCAGACGTCCGATTAGTGCTCGACACGATTTTCCGAAGGTATAATATTTCTGCTTGCCGAGCCTTGCCGACGTTTGCTACGTTCAACAAGGGAAGAACAAGGTGTTCTTCAAGTAGGAAGCAGTTGTCGATGGACAAAGTGGGTCACGAGCCGTGACCTCCGCGGCTCCTCCGGTCGCGTCTTTTCCACAACCTCGAGGGTCGCTTCTCCACTTAATTACCTCCACGTCCTCCATGTATGCGAGGCGAATTTTTAACATATCGAACGCAGCTGTTGCAACGAAGAAAAATATATATTTCGGATAACTTAAGAACGGAACACGATCGAGAATGAACACTTCTCGAACATTTTACTACTACTTTTCTTTGCATGCATCCTGTAAAGGCGAAAGGAATTTGAAACTCGCCACGATGTCGGTATTCTACAAATCTACGGAGATTTTTAACACTTTAATTACTATTTTATTTAAAATAATTTGCGTTTTCGAGTCTGATTTTAGGGGTCCGATGCGCCTGGGAAAATATTTCAGCTCCATGCTCTATAATTGAAAAACTTTTACTTCTAAACAATTTACTTCTTTACAATTCTGATTTTAAAAGGTCAAACCTGTACGAAATGCAAAAGAATATTTTTATTTTTCAAAAGTGTGTCTCCCTTTCAATATTAAAAATTACGAAAATACTTTTAATCGAGTCCATGTGAAAATACTGCTATTCGATCAATTTTAAAATCTCTTAATTTCAGTACTAAAGTGAATTAATTGAAATGTGTGTTCTTCTCTCTTGTTTTTAGAGTTGAAAGCTTCGAAATGAAATTTCTCCTCGGCGTCTGCAGCATTTGCCTGATTGTCGCGTTTGTCGTGGCTGGCATACCACTGCCGCAACCAGGCGATCCTCAAAGTAATCTCTCAAAAAATTGTCAGATTCCAAAATGTCCTGTCGTGAAAACCACGAACGGTGAAGAGAGGGTTATTACTTTGCCGTATCCTCTGGACTGTTTACAGTACGTTGAGTGCAAAGGATCGGTGGCGACTGTCCTACCCTGTCCACCCGATGAAGTCTTCGACAAGGTAAGACTTGACAATAATCTATAATAATCTGAAACTTTAAAGTGCATTAAATATGTCCGCATTAAACATCTCTGAATTAATTGAACATTTACAATCGTCAAGTTTTAATAATTGTTTCGTACAGTTGTCACAAACTTACAAAATCAACGAAATTCTACATTTTTTAATTTTTTCGTAAGTTATAAATAGTTTTATGCATTTATAAAGAATGTAAATATATAAAAATATACAAGAAAGTTGAATGAATGCGTACATATATTATAATATAAAAATTAAAACACGCACTACAATATTTAAATGCTAGCATATATTTCAACTTCATTTATATGTAAAAACATATGAATTTGAATAATATCCGCAGTCTAGTTATAAATTTGTAAAACGAATAAATTTAAAACTTAGAAAATAAATGAAATCAATAATGTCTACGAAAATATTACACTTATCATAAGTTAATGATTTATTCTGAAATTAGCGTGACACTCTGAGACAAATTTTTGACAATAATACATGCTCTTGAGTTCTCACGGAAATAATGTGTAAAAAAAAAGTATGAAAACGAGTTTGAAATATCGTTTACTGGGACAGGATGTTTTCATGAATAGCAGAAACAGCGGCACGTATACAATTTATTTGAAAAGGGATGTTTGAAACTATACGTTTCGTTTTCTGTCACTTTTCCTAGGGGATACGCATCTCTTTCTTTCGGATCTATAAATTGTTTTCCCATATATTTCTACGACTAGTACAGAAACTTCGATTAGTTTAATTAAGATTTATTCTTTATTGTTACATATATTTGCAGCAATAAAATTGTAAAAATAATGTTTAGCATCGTTAAAAATTCTCCTAACATTTGAGTGAGGATTGTCATTAAAAAAATTTAAGGAATTCTGTTTTCATATTTATTATACATGTACAATGTATATTACATTTAAAAATAATTAAAGCAAACCTAGATTACCATTAAACTTTTTGAAACCTCAAAATAAACTTTGGAGAAACCTTGAAATAAGAAAAAAGATTTTTGCAATGTTAAAAACTGCAGAAGTTATAGCAAAAAGAAATAAAACAAAATTTCCGTAATCCCGTAATTTATTTTAAAACACTTCGTTCGAGAAACAATTTACGTATAATTATTCTGCCTAAAAATTCTGAAAATAATTTTAACATCGAGATCCTCCGATAATGGGAAATCGTTGTAGCAGGTGCTCGAAGTATATCGATGGATGATACACTATTTTCTTAGCTGCCCGAACATACACCGAGGGGGTAAAATCAACCCTCGAGATGCGAGTTCTATTTTTATTCAATTATTCGTGAAGTGTTGGAAAGAATTGATATGGAAACATTACTTTTTTAAAACAAATTCATAATTTTATTCAAGTTTACTTCTTTGACCAGTAAATCTTCGCGATGTAACAAATCTTTGAATACTAAACATTTTCATTTCACAATTATCAAACATGTCTTGAAGATAATTCGAGATAATTTTTGCATAGATTGTTCATTATCCGTCATTTTTTTCGAAGTTTATAAAATAAAGAACGGTCCCAATATATTTTCTACTAATAATACAGTTTCGAAAGAGATATACAAATATTTCTGTACAAGCTTTATAAAATTTATTTATTGATTTACCTTAACGTTAAAGGTGCAAAATAACATATTTAAATTTCAAAAAGATCGGTCTGATATACATACATTTTTACTTTGACAATCAGATAAAAAATGATGGAACGAGAAAAGCACGCTTCAAACTTATAGACGAATATTTTTATACTTTTCCTAAATAATATTGTCAGTGAAATAATCATTATAAACTTTGAAAAAAATTCCCAAGATATGCTTAACTTATCTGTCGTTAAACCTGAAAGGCTCCTTAACGAGTAAAAATTACTATTTCAGGAAACTCAGGTATGATTCGTAAATATAGATAGGATACGCTACCGTTTGAGTAATTGTGGCCGGTGCTGTATGTGCATACTTGTCTATCCACTTCATGAATTACCTTGAATTCCCATTGTCACGCAAAAAGCTCGTCGGCTCCATCGATCGTACGCCTACGCTTGGAAAAATTTTACCTGTGAGAAACAGTGGCTGGTTCATTCATTGCTGTCTATCTCCCACAACACGTAGTATGAACGTCGTTCTTGCCGGGTAATGATTGATTCATAGATACAAACTAAAATAACCGTTGTAAAGAAATACAAACACAAGAATATAAATATGAACATAAATATTTTAATTACAGCCAAATTTTGTGCTGTAAAATTAGTTTACAAATCGATTGTTTCTGCGTTTCTCGAAAGATACACATTTCAAGAATGTTGTGTGAATATACAGGGTGGTCCACGCAAAGTGTGCACTTTTATAACTTTCAAAATATGCGTTCCACGAAAAAATGTTATATACGAAAGTTACACGTTGCTTGGATCACCCTGTATATTTTTTCAATTAATTACCTGACAAGGTGATAATAAATGCTCCTCTGTGCGTTAAATGAAAACACTCGAGTGGCTGGTTGAAGTCTGCAATCCATCTTGCGAGGGTTAAGAAGAGTGCAGAAGCACGAGTTAGCGGAAACGTGGACAGTGCAGATTTATTTTTGCTTCGTAGCTCCTTCTTTTTTCCCACGGAAGTATTTTCTCCGAATACAACGTTAGACGAACAACATATTCTCGTGTACTTACATTGCACTCCATTAATTCTTCCATTTCATGGGAACACGATACTCCAAACGCATCCCCTTCTTGATGTCGACAAGCTTATAGTTGTCGCGCCGCTGAAACTCTAGATGGCGTGTATTATAATGTTTTCAGCTCCGATTGAATAATAACAACACTATATAAACAACTGCGCAACATTTAAAATTCGCGATATATTAT